ACCGTGGCATCAAGCTGAGCACAACCCTCACTGCTCGGAGCTCACAGCAAGATGAGCAAAAACCGGGAGCAGGGCAGGAAACCCTTTGCTCACTCACACTGTCCGGGCTGGAGAGAAGCTCAGGGGGAGCAGGAGCTGCTGTGAGCCTGCTGAGCCTCAGCTGCCTCGGCAGGGCTGCTCCAGCCTGGGCACACAGAGATCCTGCAGGGATCCCACAGCCTGGGCACACAGAGAGAGATCCTGCAGGGATCCCACAGCCTGGGCACACGGAGGGAGATCCTGCAGGGATCCCACAGCCTGGGCACACAGAGAGAGATCCTGCAGGGATCCCACAGCCTGGGCACACAGAGATCCTGCAGGGATCCCACAGCCTGGGCACACGGAGGGAGATCCTGCAGGGATCCCACAGCCTGGGCACACAGAGAGAGATCCTGCAGGGATCCCACAGCCTGGGTACACAGAGATCCTGCAGGGATCCCACAGCCTGGGCACACAGAGATCCTGCAGGGATCCCACAGCCTGGGCACACAGAGAGAGATCCTGCAGGGATCCCACAGCCTGGGTACACAGAGATCCTGCAGGGATCCCACAGCCTGGGCACACGGAGGGAGATCCTGCAGGGATCCCACAGCCTGGGCACACAGAGAGAGATCCTGCAGGGATCCCACAGCCTGGGTACACAGAGATCCTGCAGGGATCCCACAGCCTGGGCACACAGAGATCCTGCAGGGATCCCACAGCCTGGGCACACGGAGGGAGATCCTGCAGGGATCCCACAGCCTGGGCACACAGAGAGAGATCCTGCAGGGATCCCACAGCCTGGGCACACAGAGATCCTGCAGGGATCCCACAGCCTGGGCACACAGAGAGAGATCCTGCAGGGATCCCACAGCCTGGGCACACAGAGATCCTGCAGGGATCCCACAGCCTGGGCACACAGAGAGAGATCCTGCAGGGATCCCACAGCCTGGGCACACAGAGATCCTGCAGGGATCCCACAGCCTGGGCACACAGAGAGAGATCCTGCAGGGATCCCACAGCCTGGGCACACAGAGAGAGATCCTGCAGGGATCCCACAGCCTGGGCACACAGAGATCCTGCAGGGATCCCACAGCCTGGGCACACAGAGATCCTGCAGGGATCCCACAGCCTGGGCACACAGAGATCCTGCAGGGATCCCACAGCCTGGGCACACAGAGGGAGATCCTGCAGGGATCCCACAGCCTGGGCACACAGAGAGAGATCCTGCAGGGATCCCACAGCCTGGGCACACAGAGATCCCACAGGGATCCTCCAGCCTGGGCACACGGAGATCCCACAGGTCCGGAGCTCCAGGGGCACACGGAGATCCCGCAGGTCCGGAGCGTTCCTGTCCCGGCTCAGCGGGCCAGCGGCAGCCAGGGCGCCCGCGGCCAGCCCGACGCCTCGAAGAGCATCTCGGCCAGCAGCTCGCCCATGGCCGCGTCGCCGATGACGGGTCGGAAGAAGAGCGCCGTGACCAGGGCGGCGGGCACGGAGCCCAGCGAGGCGGCGAGGCGCAGGGTGTGCGGGAAGCGCTGGCGGTGCTCGGGGTGCGGCAGCTCCTGCAGCGCCCGTTGCGCTTCCCGCTGCAGGCTCTCGATGTACAGGGCGGCCCGCAGCCCCGGGATGTCTGCAGGAGACAGCACAGAGAGAGAAAGGTCAGGGATGGCCCACAGAGACAGGCTTCTCCGGTTCCCACCCCTCCCCGTTCCTCACACGGCGCTGGAGAGGCACCGCTGTTCTAGGGATGCTGGGTGAAGCAGAGACAGCGCCTAACAGGGAAAGTCGTGCTCTAAAAGCAAAGCAATCCAGGATTCATTGTCCGCAGGGCGGGCAGAGGTTGTGACATCCTCCCTTCCTGCTTCCCGGTGCATTTGGGAACGGCCAGAGTTAGGGAAAAGGTGACCAGCCCTCTCTGCTCTCACACCTGCCCATCTCTGAGCATCTGCAGGACATGAGATGTGTTCACCTGGGAAGGTGGTGGGGCTCCTATCCCTGTCCCTGGCACTCAGTGCTCTGGGCTGATGGGGAGTGGCACAGGGTGCACTCCATGGTTTTGGAGATCTTTTCCAGCCTCTGTGGCTCTGGGACGCTGTGATTCTGTGCCCAGCTGCCAGCGGGGGCCAGCAGAGCCACGAGGGCCTGGCACTCACCTGGATTGAAGAGGATGGCTCCCCTCAGGTAGGTGAACTCGCTGGGGCTCAGGTCCAGCCTCCAGAAGCTGTTGAGGCAGCCCTGCAGCCTCTGCACGGCCGCCAGCGTGGGCTGCGCCCCCTCGGGCTCCTGCCCCTTGCTCTGCCCGCTGAGCAGGATCTTCTTGAGCATGCTGGGCGCCGGCGCCTCCGTCACCTCGAAGGTCACCATCTCCTGCACCAGCCCCAGCAGGAAGAGCGGCACCCAGCAGCCGTCCAGCAGCAGCAGCTGGTCCTCGCGCGGCAGCAGGCGGAAGGCGGCCACGTTCTTGACGAAGCTGACGGTCTTGAGCAGCACGTGCGAGGCGGCGCGGCAGGTGAGCTGCGGCGTGCGCAGGCACACGGCGCGGCGCTGCCGGCACGGGCACCGCTGCCGCGGCCGCAGCTCCCGGCTCAGCAGCGTGTACAGGATGGCGGGCTGCCGCTCCTTGCCGCGGCACCGGCACCGCTCGCAGCCCGCGTCCACGCCGGAGCTCATGGCTCTGCCGGCTCCTTCAAGAGAGACGCAAAATCCCTTCCAGAACGAGTCCCGGCCTGGATCGTCCCTGTCCTGCCGGCCCCTGGCTGAGCCAGCCAGCTCTTATAAGGCCGGGACACGGTGAACACCCCTCGGCAGCCTTGACCGGCCTGATTAAGCGGCCCTCATTAAACCAGCCGACCAACCCCGTGGCTGCTGGGCGGATTGGCCGGGCCAGGCGCGGTCAACGGCCGTTTTTCTCAATGAATCGGCGGGGAGGGGTTGTGTGGCCTTATCAGGATTACCCAAACAGGATAAACAGAGTCATTAGCCCAGGCTGTACCATGGCACCGAGGCCCCATCGAGCAGCTGTCGCTGCCAGGGTTCACAGACAAACACGGGGAGCTCGTCTGAGCCCGGCGTTCAACAGCCTCGGCACCCGGCCTTGGCAGCAGCAACCTGGAAGTTGTGTTATCAGCAGCTGTTTGCCTGGCCTTGCTCGGGAGCCGCTTGTTGTGGTGCAGGAAGAGAAACCCGGTGAACCGCCAGGCTGTGATGGGCCCAGGGGTCGGGTCTGTCAGAGGGCTGGAAAGGGAAAACGCTGCCATGTGCAGAATGAGAGAAAAGTAAGGGAAAAAAGTCAAAATTCTCATAATTGTCCTAGTGGAAACATGGTCCATGTGTCGTGTCTCTCAGAGGGCTGGGAAAGGGAAAACACTCCCATTCGCAGAATGAGAGAAAAGTAAGGAAAAAGGACCAAAATTCTGGTATTTTCCTAGTGGAAACATGGGCCAGGGATTGTGTATCTCAGAGGAAACACAGGGCTGGGAAAGGGAAAACGCTCCCATCTGCAGAATGAGAGAAAAGTAAGGGAAAAAGGCCAGAATTCCTGTATTATCCCAGTGGAAAGGGACCCAGAGGGGCTGGTGGACAGCAGCTGACCATGAGCCAAAGTGGGCAATGGTTGTTGGGGGGCCCGGCACTCAGGCCCTGGCCCAGTGTGGGCCCCTCACTGCAAACACAGACAGACATTGAGCAGTCCAGGGAAGGGCTCGGAGCTGGGAAGGGGTGGGGCCCAGGAGCGGCTGAGGGAGCAGGAAGGCTCAGCAAAGGAGGCTCAGGGGGCCCCTCCGGCCCCGGCTCCCCGGCAGGACGGGCCAGGCCCGCGCCGGGCCCTTCCCGCGCCCCGCGCCCCGCGGCCCGCCCGGCCCGTCGCCATGACAACCCCGCCGCAGAGCGCGGCCCTCCCTTCCCCGCGAGATTGACAGCCGTCCGGACCAATCAGCGAAGAGGGCGGCGCGGCGGCGCGCTGGGATTGGCGGGCGGGGAGGGCCTCGCGCTTCCGTGGGCGCCGGTTCCGGTTCCGGCGGCGGCCCGGTGCGGGAGCGGCGGCGCGATGGGGCTGAGCGCGGAGGAGGCGGCGGAGCAGGAGGACCGCTTCGACGGGATGCTGCTCGCCATGGCCCAGCAGCACCAGGGCGGCGTGCGCGAGGTAGCGCCGCCGGCAGCGGGCGCGGGGAGGGCGGGCGGGAGCGGAGGAGCGAGCGGGGAGCGGCCCGGCCTCCTCGGGCCCCGCCCCGGCACGTGGAGCAGGGCCCGCACGTGCGCCGCTCCCGGAGCGGCGATAACGGCCGGGCCCGCTCGTTAATGAGTGCGATGTTAATGAAGCGCCCCCGGCGCGGCCTCGCAGCCCGGCCCCGGTGCTCCGGGAAGGCTCCGGGTGCGCGGCAGTGCCGGTGATGGGGCACAGCACCACGGGGCAGCATCGACCTGCCCCGGTCACCCTCCCGGCACAGCCGCGCGAGGCCTGGCCGTGATCGGGGCATCCCCCCGTGCTCGGGATCTGCTCACCCGCCCCGGTCCCACCGGCTGCGGGCTCCGGGATCCCGGTCCTGACCGGCACCAGGGCTGGAGGGTGTGGGAACATCGCGCCCACATCCCACTCAAAAATTCATTAAAAACGCTCCTGTAACAGCCCCTCATGTGGCAAAACCTCGGAGTGAAACCCCCACGGGACGGGATTCCTGGGAAATAAAGATCAGCCAAGCTCAAGGAGAATGTGGGTTTCCAGACGGGGTTTGGAGCTCCTGGTTCATGCATCAGTGGTCCCTGGCAGCTGTAGAAACAAGGAGTTTGCATGCTTTTAGGTGTGCAAAGAAGCAAAACATGCTATGGGTGTATATATATGTATGGATGGGTGTATATATATGTATGGGATATGTATGCATGCATAAATCCGTTCCTGCCTGGGGTGTGGGAGCAGGAGCTGGGAATAAGCTGCTGCCTTAAAGCAAAGCCCTCCAAGCCCTCTGTGCAGGAATCCGGGCTGGATGTGCCCAGCTGGGTGTTCTGGAGGCAGAGCTCACGGGGCTGGCTCCAGGGCCCTGCTGGCACAGCCACAGATAGGGAGGACAAAGGATCAAGGCTGCTCCAGGGACACGAGGTGCCTTTCAGTGCCCTGGCCTCACTGCTCCCTCTCTTCCCACCCTGTTCCCCAGCTCGTGAACACCTTCTTCAGCTTCCTGAGGAGGAAGACAGATTTCTTCACCGGGGGAGAGGACGGAGTAGCAGAGAAGGTAAACAATAAACCTGCAGGCCTTTAGCTCTTCCCCCTTCCATCCCAGCCGTGTGTGTGCCGTGCCAGGGCTCCCCTGCCTGAACAGCTGCCAGCATCTGGGTGCACGTGGGCACCAGCAGCTCCCGAGGGAAGGAAGGAGACCCAGAGCTGCCCCTGTCAGGTGAGGAGCACCCAATTAATTCCCTGCTGGCTGGTGCCTCAGTGCAGGTTTCTTGCCAGGCTCTGGCCAAAGGCTAGTTTGGAAAGCAAACCTGCCAGACACACTGACACAGCAGTGACACAGCCGGTGATAACCCCCTGTGTTACCTTGTTTGCTCAGCCAGGAAAAACACAAAGTCCAGGGCTCTGCACACGCAGCTGCCCCTTGGCCGAGCTGAGCATCCCCTCTCCTGCAGGGAGCCCTTGCTGCAGCTGGAGGGCTTTAAGGTCCTTTCAGCCCAAAACATCTGTGATTCTCTGAAAGAAAGAAAGAAAGGTGAACCCCACTGTCACTTTTTATGGAATAGAGAGCAGATGTCCCCCGTTCCTGGGGGCTGTGTGATCCCACCTGAGCTCAGAGGTGCCTGGCTGCTGTCCTTGGCAGTGCTGGCATCTGTCACAATGCTTTATTGTGCTCTGCCACCACAGGAACACCACAAACAGGGAAGGAGCTGCTTCCCCAGCCCTGCTGAGCCCTTGGCATGCAGGAGACAGGAGAGGGTGGGAAGGTCATTGTGTGTTTTGGGGGCTGTTTCAGCAGGCTCGGGGTGTGGGCAGTGACAGGGACAAGCTCAGGCACTGCAGGTGGTTTCCTCACCCAGGTGGGACATCCTGGGGGATGCACAGCTTGCATTCTGTACTCCCGGAGACACTGGGGCCAAGCTGTATAAACAGTCCTTGGTTGTAAAGCCAAGCAGAAACACTCAGTGCTTGCTTACAAACTGCACTTTGCTTGGAAAAGGCTCTGGATTTTCCCCCAACCCTGAAACTCCTGGGATATATATATATATATATATATAAAAATAAATAAAAGTTCCCCCTGTGAGTCCTGTCTGAGGATCTGTCCCTGTTATTTATTTTCTGGGGCAGACCTCAGCTCACCTACGTGCTGCTGTGTAAACAATCCTTGCTCCTAAAGCCAGGCAGAAACACTCAGTGCTTGCTTACAAACTGCAGTTTGCTTGGAAAGGCTCTGGATTTCCCTCCCTCCCTGAAACTCCTGGGGTATGTTTCAATAAATAAAAGTTCCTCCTGTGATTATTCCCATCTGAGGATGTGTCCCTGTTGCTTCTGGGGCAGACCCCAGCTCACCTACGTGCTGCTGTGCACAGCAGCCCTGGCCTTATCGAGCCTGGGGCAGTGCTCTGGCTCCCTGCCTGTGTACTCAGCTTTCCCTTGGCAGCCAGACCTTGGGATTGACTCCCAGAGTCACAACAACCTCCAGAGACCTGGGAGCAGGGCTGAAACAAAGGGTGTGTGGAGGAACTCACCCCTCAGTGTAAAAACAAGGGCTTCAAGCGTTTCTCCTCCAAATCACGGCACTCCAAATCGGGCTCCATCTGGAGAAAAGCCCACAGAAAGGTCAGAAGTAGGTAAAGAAGCTGGATCTAGTGTGTCCAGCTGTCCTGGAGGTGTGGAGTAGCTTCAGGTGGCTGGGTTGGACATCAGCTCATCCTGTTGGAATTGCACAAAGGACAAAATTAGTGGAGGATTTTATTTCACTGTTATCTCCTGGAAACATACTTCCTGCATAACTAGGAAGGACTACATTTAAATACTTCAAATTTTCCCCTTTTCCTCCCTTTTCACTTCCTCCTCTGCTTTTTAAATTGAAAAATCTCTAGATTGTGAGTCCAAAAAATTGAGCAAAGATGAAAGGAAGATTCCCAACATCCGTGTGACTCAGCAGATTTTTCTGTGCTCCTCGGGAGAACAAGTGGGATCGGTTTATGAGTGAAGTGGGTGGTGTTTGACCCCGTGTGGGGGTTCAGGTGCGAGGTGGATGGTGTTTGACCCCCCGTGCCCTGTCCTCAGCTGATCACAGAGGCCTTCAGCCACCACAACAAGCTGGCTCAGAAGGAGCGGCGGGAGAAGAAGGCGCGGCAGGAGGCCGAGCGGCGCGAGAAGGCCGAGCGAGCGGCGCGCCTGGCCCGGGACAGGGACAGGGACAGGGAGCAGCCCGGAGAGCCGCGCATCAAGGAGCTCACCGACGAGGAGGCAGAGAGGCTGCAGCTGGAGATCAACCAGGTGAGGGCCCAGCAGGTACTGCAGCTGCAGTTCTGTGCTCCCCGCGGCTGCGAGGGGCTAGAGCGGCTCACGCTTGTTCTTCCCTTGGCAGTACCTCTTTGCTAACCTCCCCCTAACCTTCCTAAGGGCTGAAAATTCCCTCTTTTCAAAGTGGGTGCTCTTCAGCTGGAGCTGAAGGGCTGAGGCCATCTAGTGCCAGCTCAGGAGGTGACACAAAGTGCCAGCTCTCAGCTGAGCGTGTTCCTGCTCTTCTCTTTCCAAACAGAAGAAAGAGGCACAAGGGCAGGGTAACAGTGTCCCAGTGAAGCCCTCGGAGGAGGAAGGTGAATCTTCAGATTCCAACAAACAGGTAAAACTCGTCTGGAAATACTTCAGATGCATAAAATGGTTTGGGTTGGAAGGGACCTTAAAGCTCATCCCGTTCCACCCTCTGCTGTGACACCTTCCACTACACCAGGCTGCTCCAAGCCCTGTCCAAAATACACACTTTGAAAATACAAATCAGAAAATTTGGCTTTAAAAATGCACAGCAAATTCCTAAATGTGCCAGTACAGTGTGGGGGTTTTTTTGTAGTCATGTTTTACCAGAAGCAGCTATTAATTATGGAGCTAAATTTAAGTGGATATAAAATACAAACAACTGACCTGCAATCCTTATAAAACCAAAGAGCTGTTGTTACAATGGAAACTGGAAGAGCTTTATTCTTTATCTTGGATTGCTCAGGGAACAGATGATGAAGAGGAAGATGAGAAGGATAAAGGAAAACTTAAGCCCAACTCTGGCAATGGAGCTGACCTTCCAAATTACAGATGGACACAGACTCTCTCAGAATTGGATGTAAGTTGTGCTTTATGGCCAGGATCTGAGGAATCTGAGACAGGGAATAAAAGCAGGTGCTGGTAAGAGGTGAAGCCATTTCCCTGTGTCCCAGTTGCCTCTGGAAGTTTGTTGGAAACAGCAATGTTTCAATAGCTGGCAGAGAGCTTGGTAACTCAGTAAAATTCCCAGGAGCTCTGGTTTTTCAGCTTTTGGTCTTGTTTTAACCAGGCATCGAAATCTGCTTCCCTTTTTATGGTCCTTTCCTTTCACCTCCTGCTCACTCAGTACCTCAAGGAGAAGAGTCCCTGCTCTGCCTGGCTCTGGTGAAACCAAGGCAGGAAGGCCTGGAGCAGCAGCACGGCGGGGTGAGGAGGACTTTCCCTGCCCAGCTGCTCAGATCTGCTCCTTTTTGCTGCAGCTGGCTGTGCCCTTCAAGGTGAGCTTCAGGCTGAAGGGCAAGGATGTGGTGGTGGATATCCAGAGACGCCGCCTCAAGGTGGGCCTCAAGGGCCACCCTCCTGTCATTGACGGGGAGCTCTTCAACGAGGTCAAGGTGGAGGAGAGCTCCTGGCTCATCGAGGATGGCAAAACAGTCACTGTGCACCTGGAGAAGGTACAGCAGGAGGGGCTGGGCAGGGGCAGACCTGGCCCTCAGCCTCTTCAGCCTCTTCTGGGCCTCAGCTGAAACAGGGCCACCCTGGTGTCCTGGGCACACTGGCAGCACAACCAGTTCTGCCTGGTTTAAGTTCCTCCATCTTCAGCCTAATTTTGTGCTATTCCAGGACACCCAGTGTAATTCTCAGCAGTTCAGAAAAAGCTGGAAGGAAATCAGTCATTTTAATGTTGTCTTTAGTGTGTTTTGACATCTGTTAGTGACGTGAAAATCCAGGGGCAGACCTCCTTGTGTCCCTCCTTGTGTCCCCTCTGGGCCTCTCCAGCTGGTTTGTTGTAATCCCATTTATGTCGTGCCAAATGGGACATCTGACATTCTCTCAGATCTCCCAGCTGTGAAAATTTAGTTTGCCTAAAGTAATTTGAAACAAAAATACCCTTTATCTATGTTCAGATTTTACTGCTATTTAGAAAACTGTCAAATAGAGTTTGATTCCATAATTTTTTTTCCTGTGACTGAGACTTAAAAACCCTAGAACAAGTCCAAGAAAGATAAACTGGTTTTGCTTCTTCGTCCTCTAGATCAACAAAATGGAATGGTGGAACAAACTGGTCTCCACAGACCCAGAAATCAACACCAAGAAAATCAATCCAGAGAACTCAAAGGTAAGAATTGTTTGTTTTAAGGGACAGAGCCTGCTCAGGAGTTACCTCAGCTGAGCCCAGAGGTGTTCCAATGTGGATCTTGCTTTCAGTTGTCAGACCTGGACAGCGAAACTCGCAGCATGGTGGAGAAGATGATGTATGACCAGCGACAGAAGTCCATGGGCTTGCCCACCTCTGATGAGCAGAAGAAGCAGGATATTTTGAAAAAGTGGGTGCAGCTCATTCCTTTGCTTGGCTTTGCCTCCCTCTCTGGCACAAATAAGGGAGCAGCAGCTTGGCCTTCAGTCCCAGCCATGCTCACCTCTGCACATCTCTGTATTGTTGGCCAACCACCAGTGTCTGTAAAGGCCTGTGGGGGTAGAAAGCCCAGTGAGGAAATCTGGGAATAGCCTAGCTCTGGAATTGCCCTAATCTGCTGATTTCAAGTCCAGAAGGCACGTTTGGAGCTGGAGGTGCCATCTCTGCTGAACTTTACCATGGTCTTGATTGGTGTCTAATCTCCCTCGGTAGCCAGCTAATCACCCCTCCCTCTTCCCTCCAGACAGTTGTCCCCAAGCCACTTTTATGGCTTTATTGCCTTGTTTGGCATAAGTGCACTGTGGCAGGGAAATGATTCCTGGAGCTCCCAAGGCCATCTGGGAAGGTGTGGAGGCAATTCTGGGTCACACAGCTTCTTCAGCAAGTGCAGCCCCACACCTTATCTCTGGGTGAAGGATTGCTGTGGCTGACCTGACTCCTTGCCTCCCTTGGCCTCATCTCTCGTGCCAGAAGCTTCTCTGTGAGCTGAGTGGGGTGTGAGCAGAGCAGGGACCAGGCTGCCCTGGTGTCAGTGGGATGGGAAGCACCCTCTGCTCTGGGAGGGCACGTGCAGGACACCTCGCTGGCAGGGCCTCTTGTTTGGTGCTCTGGAAGCTGGCAGAGGATGGAGAGGAAGTTTAGACTTTGTCCAGGGCAAAGGTGGCTCAGTGACACCCATGTGGGCACTGGTGTCTGCCAGGGGAGCTGTCCTGGCTGCCAGACAAGGACAGGATCCTCGCAGCACAGATGGCCTGGAAGTGGAAACGCTGTGGGGGCGTTCCAGGGAAACCCTGAGGTGGGAACACAGAGGAGACCAAGCTGCCCTGCCTTGCAGGGTGTGTGAGGCCTCCACAGGGCTGTGATGTGCTGTGTCCCTCGGGGAGCAGAGCAGAGCAGCCTCTGTGTGCACTGGGCACTCCTGGGCACAGGGCACTGCCCTCACAACTTCCTGATGTGCCAGTGAGTCCAGATAACCCCTGGAAGGTGTCCCTGTCCATGGCAGGGGGTTGGAACAAGATTATCTTTAAAGTCTCTTCCAACCCACACTATTCTGTGATTATTCCCTCTGCTGGGACTGCAGTACATTTGAAATCAGATTTCACCTGGTGTGAAACCAGATCCCTCTGGTCGTGTCCTCCCTGAGATTTTGCTGTCAGAGCACTGGGGATACTGCCCATATTCCAGTAAAGCTGCCAGCCCTAATCTGCCTTCACCATCTCCCCTGTGCCCCACAATCTGTGGTGGCTGCTACGTGTGCAGCCCGAGGCAGCACTGAGGGTGAGTGTTTGATAATTAACAGGTCCCGTGCGCCTGGGCTTGCTGACCTGGCAGGAATGCTGCTCCCACTGACCCGAGGAAAAGGTGTTTGTAGGGAAAATCCAGGGAATGTGTCCCAGGGAGCTCAGCAGAGCTCCAGAGTGCAGGAAGCAGGGACCCTCCCCTCCCCAAACTGAGCTGCTTGGCTTTGCTGACTCACCCAAACTCCTGTCTTTGTTTTCCTTGCAGGTTCATGGAACAGCATCCAGAAATGGACTTTTCAAAGGCTAAATTCAACTGAGCTGTCCCCCTTCCCCCCCTCTTTCAGTCAGCCCCTTGAATGGGGCAGGAAATGTATGGTTGGATATTCCTCACCTTGGGCAAGTTAAACTTCAGCATCCCCCACCCGAGCTTGCAGGAGGGCCCTGCCCAGCCACCCTGGGTGTCCTGGCAGCAGAGGCCCCAGAGCAGCTCCAGACAGAGCCGCCTGCCACAGCTCCCAAAGGCAGTGAGGAGAGGAGGAGGGCTAGAGCCAGAAGGGTGTTGGGGCTGAGAGAGCCAGACCTGAGAGGTTTTGGGACAAACCCTTGAGGTATTGCTTCGCTTCCCTGGGCTGCTCCGAGCTGCTCGTCCGCTCTTTGCCACCGGCACAGGAACTCCTGAGTTCTGCTCCCTCCTGCTCTCCTGTGAAAACAAGGGTCAGTTTATTTTGTAAAACAAATCTTTCCCTGCCTTCTTGGCAAGGGAGAACAGCAGTTGGAAAGCACAGCTATTGCAATGGAGACAGACCCTGCTTCTCCTTGCTGCTGCTCCTGTTTGTGCCACAAGTGGGACAGCTGGAGCACCCCGGGCTCCCAGCACAGATGGAGGGTCAGGCTGCTGTCCTGGAGCCAGGAGAGGTTGGGGCTCTGTGGCTGTGGGTGGGGAGGATGTTGGGGGCGTTGGGGATGCTGTTGTTGCTGGGAGTGTCTCCTGCCTCTTCCCCATGAGCCTCTCCCCTCTGGCTGTGCGAGCTCCCGCTGACGAGTGGCATCACTCTGCATGTTCTGTCTTTGTTGAAACTGCAGTGCAACATAAAGGAAAACAAGTGGAATATCCCAGGCAGAGTGTGTGGTTTCTCTGGCAGAAGGGATCAGGGATCCAGGCTGGGAGGGACAAGGGAGGGATGCCAGGGGTCCAGGCTGGGAAGGAGAAGGGAGGGATGCCAGGATCCAGGCTGGGAGGGGGAAGGGAGGGTGCCGGGGTGCTGTGCCCGTGCTCTCTGCAGCTGCCTGGGAATCCCTCTCGCGCTCCCAGCTCTGGACTGACGGTCTCTCCCTCCCTCAGGAGGTGGCAGTGGGAGCTGTGTTTTGCTCAGGAGCGCTGCTGAGCCCCATTCCCAGCTCACACCCCAGGGTGGCTGCTCCAGGCTCTGCTCTCCACAGGGCAGTATGTGACCACACCAGGAACCCCCCCTTGCCCCAGGTCTCCTTAATGCCCAGCTAACAAGGAGAGTGTCAGGAAATCCTGGGCTCTATCCCAGATCCCTGCTGCTGTGCCTCTTCCTTTGCCTCCCCCAAACATTTCCACCTCCTGCCCAAGGGATGGGCACAAAGGGCTGAAAATCTGTTTGGGCAAAGTCCGGCCTGGCACAGCTCCTGGCGTGGTGGGGTTGTTTTCTGAGCAGCAGAGCACTGTTTGCATGAAGAGTTTTACAGACTCTTGCGGTTAAAAAGCAGCTCCCACCCAGCAGAGCAGTGACCTTGAGGGTGAGCAAGGACCCAGATTGGGGCAGCTGCCTCTGGGCTGGATCCTCCTGCCTGTTTGTGTTACAGATCACCTACACCCACCTGCCTGTCTGTACTTTGGCCTTGATAAAAGAGCAGCATCTCCTGTTTTCATAAAAAAAAAGCTGAACTCTGCTGGATTTGAAGGTTTTAGCCCCAGAATGAGCTCCCTGCCTGGCTTGTGGGGCAGGGGAGCTGGGAGGGCTGAGCTGCTCTGGATGTGATGAGCTTCTCCCTGTTCTCAGCTCTGTGGGTGAACCCCAGGGAAGCTGGGGGCTTTTTGGGAGGAAGGAGGGTCAGTGGGAGAACGGGGCCAGCCCTGGTGCCCTGACCCTGCAGGAGGTGAATGGCCAGGCCGTGTTTGTGAACGTGGCTGATCCCAGAGCTGCCCCTGGACTTCGGCCCCTCGGCAGCGGAACAGAAGGTGTTTCAGTGCCGGCCTTGTCCTCTGCAAACAGCCCCAGGCACCACTGCCCCAGCCAGAGGGAGCTGGGAGCACCCTCTGGCTTCCCAAGGCAGCTGCCCCTGGGATACACCCTGCTGGGTCCAAGGAGCTGCTCAGGGCTTGAGGAACGCAAAGCCCCACCTCAGTCTGAGTCCCTGGAGACCTCAGAGCGTGGCTTTGTCCTGTGCCCACGGCAGGGAAATGCTGGGCAGCTCCAGGGAAATGCTGGATCCACAGCACCAGGGAAATGCTGGGCAGCCCCAGGACCCACAGCGTGCACACCTTGAGTGGCGCCTGAGCCCCAGCAGAGCGGGAAGGGCAGTGCTGGACAGGGACAGGGACAGCTCACCGAGGTCCCTCTGGCTCCATACCTGTGCCAGGTCACCTGGAGCAGCTGTTCAGGTGCTGCCACCAGCTGGAGGGCAGAGCCTGGAGCTCCTCACCTGCCCAGGACAGAGCCCTCAGCTCCTCACCTGCCCAGGGCTCCTCCTCACCTGTAAAAGCAAGGCCTTTGCAGGCACAACAGGCTCTGCACAGAGCTTTCTATAGGGTAAATTTTTCCCCAGTCATTTGGGTTTTATCTTTAACAGCAGCTCCTGGCTTAGCTTTTATTAATGAATATTGCAGCTCAGAGCATTTGGGAAATATCCCAGACTCCAGGACTGCTTTGGGAAGAGCAAGGGAACAGCAAAACCCCGAGGAAGGGAACAGGAACAGTGAGGATGTTACCGTGTTGTTTTAGGAGGAGCCTCAGCTGCTCTGTTACTGCAAGGGCCAGGCTGTGAGGAATTAGGGTCCATCCATCTGCTTCCTGATGTCTAAGCCACACTGAAATCAGTAATTCAGCAGCTCAGGGTGGGGATGTGCGGAGGAATTTCTTCAACACTCCTGCAGCCGTTCCCTGCAGAGCTCCCGAGCTGCCCTCACCTGGTCCCAGGGCACCCTGGGCAGGGGCACAGCTCGGGCTTGGGCTCTGCTTCCCCTGTGTGAGAGAACACCTCCAGAGCCAGGTAAGGCTCTCCTGTTTGTGAGGTCTCCACTTGGGCAACCCAGTCAGCTCACTCAGCTCACTCGCCGTGTTTACTTTGTGATAAACAACCAAGTGGCAACACCACAGATGCAGCTTCCTCCTGCTGCAGCCTCAGCTGGCACCGAGCCCTGGGGCAGCAGTGCCCATCTCCTGGCCCCCAAGGCCTGCCAAGGGAAGGACAAGGTGCTGAGTGCCCACGGGGAAAGGCAGGGCCAGCAGTGCCTCACAAACCCTCTGCTGACACTCTCAGGAGCCTTTCCTTTGAGGCAAACCAAGGGGTTTGAAGGGATTTTTCAGCAGAACAGTCAAAGAGCCCAGTTCTGAACCACACAGTCAGGAGTGAATCAAGTGCCACAATCCTGCCCCAGGCTCTCCAGGGGAAACATGGACAGAGGAGTGGCGAGAGCTGCAGGCAGTGTGAGCTCCTGGGCTCCAGCAGAGTGATCCCCATGGTCTGCTCATGCAGGGGCAGCCCAGCAGCCACCCCAGCCCCAGCACTGGCCCTGAATCAGGGATGAACCAAGAGGCACAAATTGAATGAGCTCCACAGAGCTGAACCTTCTCCCCAGGCAGCAGCAGGGGACACCAAGGCTCGGCAGGGAAAGGCAGAGCTGCCCACTGAAAACACCATGGGTGGAAGACTTTGGGTTGGTGGGACCAACACAGGCACTTTAAACAGAGATTTGGGTCCCTGCAGAGCAGGATTCAGCCTGCACCTCAACATCAGCACCAGCACAGAGACACCACAGTTATTCCCTATCCAAGTTCACTCAGGCAATGCAGGAAGCAGAACTGTACAACAGCTCCTCAAAGCAGGGAAAGGGCTGAGCCACGGAGCTGCTGGAGCTAACTGTGATTTACAGGAATCCTGAGCACAATCCTGAGCACAGGAATCACAGAGGCACAAGTTCTCTGCTACTTCCTTGTCCATCTTCTCCTCCCTGGGCACACATTCCACCTCCAAGTTCATTAGTTCTGCAGTTTGCTTCCTTGATTGTCCATAAAAACCAAAATATCCAGTGAAGTTCAGACAGCAGGAGGAATCTGGCTTCAGTAAGGATCAGGGAAGACTGAGAAAAAAAAAATTAAACTTGGCACAAGACGCTCCACATGGAAGGAGGAGGATTGTGACTGCAGCACAGGCTGGAATGCCTCCTGCTGCTCGGGTCCTTTAACAGTACACCTGGAGCAGAGGTGCCCCCGAGGAGTCAGTCTCTGTGTCCTGGAAAGAGGAATCTCTGCTGGCTGGAGAGCCTTGGGAGGAGAGAGAAGAGAAGAGATGGTGCCATTAGCCCAGGGGAAGCACAGCAGCCTGGCACTGGGGAAGCAGCTGCCACACAAGGCTTTGTGTACCATGAGGGAGGAGAAAGCCACACAAAGCCATGGCAGGGAGCAGCCCTGCCTGCATTGCAGCCATCTCCCAGGACAGAGCTGCTGTGCAGGAGGAAACTTGTCTTGTAGCCCTGGGCTGCTCTCTGGGAGGATAGAGCTCGGGGCAGCCCTGCCTGCTTCCCTTTTGCACAGTTCCTTTTGTTCCCAGTCTCACCCAGCTGTGACCTCTGGCAGTCACACCCCAAATACAGCCCCAAACTTTGTCAGGGTACACAGAGACTGAGAGCTCTCAGGCCAGGTCCTGTGCAAGGACAGGGAACTTGGATTTCACCCTTTTCAGAAAGATCCACCAACCCAGGGAGTGTCTGAGCTCCATCACCTCCAGAGCCCAGGAGAACTGAGGGGAGCCTGAGGAGCAGGGTCAGTTCAGGCTGTGGAGGTGAGGACACAGACGGGGGGGCTCAGGCTGTGTGGAGGGTGAGGACATGGAGCAGGGTCAGTTCAGGCTGTGTGGAGGGTGAGGGCATGGAGCAGGGTCAGCTCAGGCTGTGTGGAGGATGAGGACACAGGCAGGGGAAGCTCAGGCTGTGTGGAGGGTGAGGACATGGCCAGGAGAAGCTCAGGCTCTCCCCTGCAGCCAGGCCCAGCCAGGTGTGTGTGTTACCTGCCTGAGACGGCTGAACAGTCAGCATTGGGAAATTCATTAAAGTCCATTCTAAGAGGTTTTTAAACTCCTATTTCGGTAATGACTTGGCATGGAACTGAAGACAGGTTTTAGTTACTTATAGAGATCTCTGTTGTGGGCAGAGTGAGTGTGTCCCATGATTAGACCAGAGTGTCATCAACCTCAATGTGGCAGAAGCAGTGTCCTCAATCAGGGCACTAAGGCACCCCCTTTTACGACAGTCGCGCTTTACGGCACCTTTTACGACAGTCGCGATTTACGGCCGTATTTACGACAGTCGCGCGTTACGACACCTTTTACGACAGTCGTGCTTTACGACAGTCTTTACGACAGTCGCGCTTTACGGCAGTCTTTACGACAGTCGCGCTTTACGACACCTTTTACGGCAGTCGCGATTTACGACAGTCTTTACGACAGTCGCGCTTTACGACACCTTTTACGACAGCCGTGATTTACGGTACCTTTTACGACAGTCGCGCTTTACGGCACCTTTTACGACAGTCGCGCTTTACGGTATCTTTTACGACAGTCGTGGTTTACGGCAGTCTTTACGACAGTCGCGCTTTACGACACCTTTTACGACAGTCGCGCTTTACGGCAGTCTTTATGACAGTCGCGCTTTACGACACCTTTTACGACAATCGTGATTTACGGCACCTTTTACGACAGTCGCGCTTTACGGCAGTCTTTACGACAGTCGCGCTTTACGACAGTCGCGCTTTACGGCACTTTTTACGACAGTTGCGCTTTACGGCAATCTTTACGACAGTCGCGCTTTACGGCACCTTTTACGACAGTCGCGCTTTACGGCAGTCTTTACGACAGTCGCGCTTTACGGAACCTTTTACGACAGTCGCGCTTTACGGCAGTCTTTACGACAGTCGCGCTTTACGGCACCTTTTACGACAGTCGCGCTTTACGGCAGTCTTTACGACAGTCGCGCTTTACGACACCTTTTACGACAGTCGCGCTTTGCGGCACCTTTTACGACAGTCGTGATTTACGGCACCTTTTACGACAGTCGCGCTTTACGGCACCTTTTACGACAGTCGCGCTTTACGACAGTCGCGCTTTACGGCACCTTTTACGACAGTCCCGCTTTACGGCAGTCTTTACGACAGTCGCGCTTTACGGCACCTTTTACGACAGTCGTGATTTACGACAGTCTTTACGACAGTCGCGCTTTACGACTCATTTTACGACAGCCGCGCTTTACGGCACCTTTTACGACAGCCGCGATTTACGGCAGCTTTTACGACAGTCGCGCTTTACGACAGTCTTTACGACAGTCGCGCTTTCCGGCACCTTTTACGACAGTCGTGATTTACGGCACCTTTTACGACAGCCGCGCTTTACGGCAGCTTTTACGACAGTCGCGCTTTACGGCAGTCTTTACGACAGTCGCGCTTTACGACTCCTTTTACGACAGTCGTGATTTACGGCACCTTTTACGACAGTCGCGCTTTACGGCACCTTTTACGACAGTCGCGCTTTACGGCAGTCTTTACGACAGTCGCGCTTTACGGCACCTTTTACGACAGTCGTGATTTACGACAGTCTTTACGACAGTCGCGCTTTACGACTCATTTTACGACAGCCGCGCTTTACGGCACCTTTTACGACAGCCGCGATTTACGGCACCTTTTACGACAGTCGCGCTTTACGACAGTCTTTACGACAGTCGCGCTTTCCGGCACCTTTTACGACAGTCGTGATTTACGACACCTTTTACGACAGTCGCGCTTTACGGCACCTTTTACGACAGTCGCGCTTTACGGCAGTCTTTACGACAGTCGCGCTTTACGACTCCTTTTACGACAGTCGTGATTTACGGCACCTTTTACGACAGTCGCGCTTTACGGCACCTTTTACGACAGTCGCGCTTTACGGCAGTCTTTACGACAGTCGCGCTTTACGGCACCTTTTACGACAGTCCCGCTTTACGGCAGTCTTTACGACAGTCGCGCTTTACGGCACCTTTTACGACAGTCGCGCTTTACGGCAGTCTTTACGACAGTCGCGCTTTACGACTCCTTTTACGACAGTCGCGCTTTACGGCACCTTTTACGACAGCCGCGCTTTACGGCAGCTTTTACGACAGCCGCGCTTTACGGCACCTTTTACGACAGTCGCGCTTTACGGCACCTTTTACAACAGTCGCGCTTTACGACAGTCGCGCTTTACGGCACCTTTTACGACAGTCGCGCTTTACGGCAGTCTTTACGACAGTCGCGCTTTACGGCACCTTTTACGACAGTCGCGCTTTACGGCAGTCTTTACGACAGTCGCGCTTTACTACACCTTTTAGGACAGTCGTGATTTACGGCACCTTTTACGACAGTCGCGCTTTACGGCACCTTTTACGACAGTCGCGCTTTACGACAGTCGCGCTTTACGGCAGCTTTTACGACAGTCGCGATTTACGGCCGTATTCACCACAGTCTCGATTTACGGACCCTTTTACGACAGTCGCGCTTTTCGGCACCTTTTACGACAGTCGCTCTTTACGGCAGCTTTTACGACAGTCGCTCTTTACGGCCGTCTTTATGACAGTCGTGCTTTACAGCACCTTTTACGACAGGGACAACAGGCTCTGCACAGAGCTTTCTATAGGGTAAAGTTTTCCCCAGTCATTTGGGTTTTATCTTTAACAGCAGCTCCTGGCTTAGCTTTTATTAATGAATATTGCAGCTCAGAGCATTTGGGAAATATCCCAGACTCCAGGACTGCTTTGGGAAGAGCAAGGGAACAGCAAAACCCCGAGGAAGGGAACAGGAACAGTGAGGATGTTACCGTGTTTTAGGAGGAGCCTCAGCTGCTCTGTTACTGCAAGGGCCAGGCTGTGAGGAATTAGGGTCCATCCATCTGCTTCCTGATGTCTAAGCCACACTGAAATCAGTAATTCAGCAGCTCAGGGTGGGGATGTGCGGAGGAATTTCTTCAACACTCCTGCAGCCGTTCCCTGCAGAGCTCCCGAGCTGCCCTCACCTGGTCCCAGGGCACCCTGGGCAGGGGCACAGCTCGGGCTGGGCAGGACTGGGATCCCTCTGAGGGCACAGCACAGCAAGAACCCACAAAGTGGGAGTGTCTGGAGACTCCTGGCACAACCAAGCCCAATAAAACCAAACAATGTCTTCAGGAAAAGCCAGGTGCTGAGTCAGATTCCCAGAAGGAAGCACCTGTGTGAGAGAACACCTCCAGAGCCAGGTAAGGCTCTCCTGTTTGTGAGGTCTCCACTTGGGCAACCCATTCAGCTCACTCAGCACAACACCCAGTGCATGCTCAGAGCAAAAACCAGTCCAGCAAGAGCCAGGACAGCTCCATCCACAGCAAACAACTTCCTGCAGACAAAACCCCTGGACTCATCCCATGTGTGGATGTGAACCAGGAAACAGCAAACTGGGAAGCTGCTGAACAAACTGGGCTGACAGGCCCCACCCAGCTGGTCCGAGGGCTCCAGACACAAAATCCTCCCCAGAGACCCTTCCCAGCCGAGAGAAGGCAGCATTTACCTGTTCATGGCTCTGAAATCCTCCCAGGAAACACATCCTGGTCCTGTGCGCCAGCAGGAAACCCCCAGGGTTCCTGCCCCAGGGGGTGAGGGAAGGCCAGCGGGCAGGAACGGAGCCCTGCAGGTTATCCTGGGGTTTGCACTGAAATGGGCAAGTGCAGAACTGGTCCTTCCGGTCCCAGGGTCAGAGGCTGGGCCACCCTCCATCCCTGAGCTGATCCTGCAGAGCAAACCCCACATCTGCTGCCACGAGCTGGTGACACCACAGGGACAGCCTGGGAACTCTCCCCCAGGCTCAGCTTTTCCAGAGCTCAGGTCCAGCATCACGCCCTGGGAGGTCCAGGTTTCCCTGCAGGACAACAAACCCTTCCCCAGAGGCTCCTGCATTTGCATCCAGACACCAGCCTGGCATTCAGGATCCCCCTGGAGCCACCAAATGGATGGAAATGTCCTTGTCCATCTGGGACTGCAGGATCCAGCCACCCCCTGTGCAGGATCCCCAGGCTGATGAGAGCAGGAATGTAAAAGCCACAGCACAGTAAAGAGCACAACTTTTACTTTATAAAAAAAACCAAGCCATAACATTTAAGGCCAATGAGTGCAATAGAATCCCATAAGACACCACAGGTGAACCAGCTTCAGGGACCATCGAGTTGACAGTCTTCCTCTGGGTGAGTTTTTGGGGGGCTTGGGGTTTTTTCTGATAGTTTAATCCTCACATGCTCACTCCTCACACCCAGACCAGCCACTAAAATGTGGATCTGCTCTAAACCAGGGACTGCAGCTCTCTGCAAGCTCAGCTCACCCCTCGTTTCCAGCTCAGCCCACAGAGCTGTGTCAGCGTGACCCACGTGAACCTCAGCACACAGCTTTGAGGAAACTTGTCCAAATAACAACGTACAAACCCAGGAGAAGCAGAAGCCAAGCAGGTCCCTCAGGACGGGCAGCATTTGGAGGGAGGTGACCTCACACAGCTCCCCTGGGAGTCCCAGCCTGGCCTTGCTTCAAGTCTTTCCCTTGTATAAACTCGATTTCTCATCAACCAACAGCTTTAAACACAAAGCAGGGAGGGGAAGCCAAATCCAAGGCTCAGTCCCTTCCCTTCGTCTTTGAAATATCTCTGTCAGTGTCTCCAGGTGTGGTCTCAGTAATGCCCCTGATTCCTGGAAGCACACTCTGAAAACAGCCAGTGATTTACAGAAACAGGCTCTAACAGGGACTGCAACTGTCCATTTCAAAGGGTTTTGGCCTTTTAAAGAAGCCTGAGAGCTCCTGAGAGGAATTAAATCCTTCCTCCCTGCCCAAACCTCTGAAGAGCAATCACAAGCTATAAAATAAAGGCACATTTCAGCTCAATTAAGGCACATTTCAGTCCAACTGAAGCACATTACAGTCCATCTAAGGCACAAAACCATGGTCCACACTGAAGCCCAGGGCCTGTTTGGGCTTCCCTCTCCCCAAAATCCAGTGGGTGTGTTTAACTTTTGGCTGGTAAATTAAATGAAGCATTTTCTGTTCCTGTCCAAGGGCACCCAAAGCTCCAAACAAGTCCCATGGCTCGCCGTGTTTACTTTGTGATAAACAACCAAGTGGCAACACCACAGATGCAGCTTCCTCCTGCTGCAGCCTCAGCTGGCACCGAGCCCTGGGGCAGCAGTGCCCATCTCCTGGCCCCCAAGGCCTGCCAAGGGAAGGACAAGGTGCTGAGTGCCCACGGGGAAAGGCAGGGCCAGCAGTGCCTCACAAACCCTCTGCTGACACTCTCAGGAGCCTTTCCTTTGAGGCAAACCAAGGGGTTTGAAGGGATTTTTCAGCAGAACAGTCAAAGAGCCCAGTTCTGAACCACACAGTCAGGAGTGAATCAAGTGCCACAATCCTGCCCCAGGCTCTCCAGGGGAAACATGGACAGAGGAGTGGCGAGAGCTGCAGGCAGTGTGAGCTCCTGGGCTCCAGCAGAGTGATCCCCATGGTCTGCTCATGCAGGGGCAGCCCAGCAGCCACCCCAGCCCCAGCACTGGCCCTGAATCAGGGATGAACCAAGAGGCACAAATTGAATGAGCTCCACAGAGCTGAACCTTCTCCCCAGGCAGCAGCAGGGGACACCAAGGCTCGGCAGGGAAAGGCAGAGCTGCCCGCTGAAAACACCATGGGTGGAAGACTTTGGGTTGATGGGACCAACACAGGCACTTTAAACAGAGATTTGGGTCCCTGCAGAGCAGGATTCAGCCTGCACCTCAACATCAGCACCAGCACAGAGACACCACAGTTATTCCCTATCCAAGTTCACTCAGGCAATGCAGGAAGCAGAACTGTACAACAGCTCCTCAAAGCAGGGAAAGGGCTGAGCCATGGAGCTGCTGGAGCTAACTGTGATTTACAGGAATCACAGAGGCACAAGTTCTCTGCTACTTCCTTGTCCATCTTCTCCTCCCTGGGCACACATTCCACCTCCAAGTTCATTAGTTCTGCAGTTTGCTTCCTTGATTGTCCATAAAAACCAAAATATCCAGTGAAGTTCAGACAGCAGGAGGAATCTGGCTTCAGTAAGGATCAGGGAAGACTGAGAAAAAAAAAAATTAAACTTGGCACAAGACGCTCCACATGGAAGGAGGAGGATTGTGACTGCAGCACAGGCTGGAATGCCTCCTGCTGCTCGGGTCCTTTAACAGTACACCTGGAGCAGAGGTGCCCCCGAGGAGTCAGTCTCTGTGTCCTGGAAAGAGGAATCTCTGCTGGCTGGAGAGCCTTGGGAGGAGAGAGAAGAGAAGAGACGGTGCCATTAGCCCAGGGGAAGCACAGCAGCCTGGCACTGGGGAAGCAGCTGCCACACAAGGCTTTGTGTACCATGAGGGAGGAGAAAGCCACACAAAGCCATGGCAGGGAGCAGCCCTGCCTGCATTGCAGCCATCTCCCAGGACAGAGCTGCTGTGCAGGAGGAAACTTGTCTTGTAGCCCTGGGCTGCTCTCTGGGAGGATAGAGCTCGGGGCAGCCCTTCCTGCTTCCCTTTTGCACAGTTCCTTTTGTTCCCAGTCTCACCCAGCTGTGACCTCTGGCAGTCACACCCCAAATACAGCCCCAAACTTTGTCAGGGTACACAGAGACTGAGAGCTCTCAGGCCAGGTCCTGTGCAAGGACAGGGAACTTGGATTTCACCCTTTTCAGAAAGATCCACCAACCCAGGGAGTGTCTGAGCTCCATCACCTCCAGAGCCCAGGAGAACTGAGGGGAGCCTGAGGAGCAGGGTCAGTTCAGGCTGTGGAGGTGAGGACACAGACGGGGGGGCTCAGGCTGTGTGGAGGGTGAGGACATGGAGCAGGGTCAGTTCAGGCTGTGTGGAGGGTGACGACACAGCCAGGGTCAGCTCAGGCTGTGTGGAGGATGAGGGCATGGCCAGGGGGGCTCAGGCTGTGTGGAGGTGAGGACATGGAGCAGGGTCAGCTCAGGCTGTGTGGAGGGTGAGGGCATGGCCAGGGGGGCTCAGGCTGTGTGGAGGTGAGGACACAGCCAGGGGAAGCTCAGGCTGTGTGGAGGTGAGGACACAGCCAGGGGAAGCTCAGGCTGTGTGGAGGTGAGGACACAGCCAGGGGAAGCTCAGGCTCTCCCCTGCAGCCAGGCCCAGCCCCAGGTGTGTGTGTTACCTGCGCTGCTGTGCCGCCTCATGTTCCTGGCCAGCACATCCGCCGGGGTCTCCTCCGAGATCTGCACGGCCAGCTCTGCAATGCAAACCAAGAGGGGCTGAGACAGGGAAGGAGGATGGAAAGGATGAGTCAGCACCAAGGATCCTGCCAGGGAACACCCTCAGGGAACAGCACAGGCACAGTCTGATTCTTCCCATTGCTTCCGCCATTGTCCGGACAGTCTGAGCTGTGTCCTTAAATCCCAGGAGCAGCCTCTCTGCTAATCTGGGAAGCACAACACCCACACGGTTTGATCAGGGACTTCTGGATATCTCCTTGCTCCCACACTCAGCTTTTCAAGGTTTTTCTACAACAAACTGTTATAGCCTGCTCTGGAGCTCAGACATTTGAGGCTGCTCCCACATGGAGGAAGAAGCAGAAGCTCTGGTGCTGTGGAACAGCCCTTCCCTCCTCTTTGCAGGAATGTTCACTGTGTGGAGGTGGTCTGGGCTCTGAGGACACACTGTCACAGAGTCTAGGGGTGCCATGAGCCAGGCAGCACATGGGAGAGAGCCAGCTGAGTAACTGGACATCCTCGGGCACGAGCAGCTCGTCTGGTCCTACCAGTTCACTTTGACTCACCGTTTTTCTGCCTCCCTCAGATGAGCACGGGCAGGAGCAGCAGCAGCAGCACAAACCCATCTATTGCTCAGCACAAACCTCACGGGCAGGCTCAAGAAAGCCCCAGCACAGGGAGGAGGGTGAGAAGCAGAGCTCTGCACTCACACAGCCCAGCAGAAGGTGCCCACTGGGGCAGAGCAGCCTCCGGCCCCGCCCCAGTGCCACAGCTCGGTGGCTGTGCTGGCACTGCCCTCCTGCAGCACCCAGGGACCCCCGGGACCCCCCGTACCGTCCTGGCTGATGACCATGGACTCCAGCATGGTCTCATTGCCGCTGTCGGGCGCGGTGCCGCGGCCAGACGCGTCCTGCTGGCCCTGGCTGCAGATGTGGGGCCGCACGCGGCTCTTGCGGGTGCTGATGCGGATGATGCCCCGCACCAGCCGGCACTCGGCGTCCTGCTCGTCCAGGTTGTAGTCCTGAGTGATGCTGTTGATGAGGTCCGAGATCTTGTTGGTCTTCTCCAGGAAGACGGTGTCCGAGGTGCACTTGGCCAGCTCGTCGATCTGGTGGACGCTGAAGAGCTCCGTGAGCTTCTTGAAGATCAGCACGTCGATCTGCCTGCTGGACATGGAGCCGTTCAGCTCGCTGATGTCCACGTCGGACTCGTGGAAGGAGTAATACTCCTCTGAGCTCCGGTGGCTGCTGGGGAGCGCTGGCTTTTCTATGCTGTTCCTGAAGGGCTTCTCCAGCAGCTCCTTGCAGCAGGAATCAGATTCCACGTGGTGGTTGGTGTTCCTGTTTGGATAGACAGGGATGCCCTTCAGCTTCACGTCTGGGTAACTGAAACTGCTGCCCATGCTGGACTTTTTGATCTGGTTCCCGTTCTTCTCAGCAGGAGAGGTGTTGGTGGGGCTGTTTGGCAGCCGCCCATTGTAGTCTCCGTTCTTGCCATCATCTGTGGAGGCCTCAGCGGGCCCTGGGTAGGGAATGCAGACACTGCAGTCCTGGAGGCAGCCCCCACACGTCACTATGCAACAGAAAACGGCCTTGTACGTGTTCCAGGCCTGAGACAGGGAGGAGCAGCAGAAGCCCTGGTTTGGGGGAGCCTCTGCCGTCCCAGAGATGAAGGTGATGGTCTCTGCCTCGCGGCCGTTGGGGTCTTTGAGCTCGGCCTTGCGCCCTTTCCTGTCCCGCATCTGCTGCGCGCGGCCGCGGCCGGCTTTGCTCTCGGGGCCGCTGAGCACCTCGAGGCTGACATCCGTGTCCCTGCTGTCCCTGGAGTCCCTGGCTGCGCGGGCCCGCAGGGGCACGGCCTCCGGGCAGGGCTGCTCCCTCTGCCGGGCGCCGCTCAGCTCGGGGGGCAGGCGGCTCCTCCGGCCCAGCATGGCTCGGCTCCGGGGCACCTGCAGGACACAGGGGGGATCAGAGCAAGCCAGCACCACCTCAGCGAGCTGCCCGACAGCACACAGGGGTCTGACAGCCAGAGCTTCCCAAAGCCAACGACTCACAGGAATATTTGTGCCAGGACTCGCGCTGCTCTCACTCGGGGCCTGCGTTCTGTGCTTCTCCCACCACCCAAGCCTTGCTGCCTCCTTTGGGTAGCTGCTCTCATCAGAAGAGAGATGCTTAAAAAGGGCTATTTTCAGACATCAAAATCCCTGTAACCTTCAGAAGAGTTTCCTCCGCGCAGCTGGAAGAGGAGTGAGCTCCAAGCAATGAAGGAGCAGCACAGCTGGAGGTGGAGCCACTGACAGGCTCCAAAGGGAAAGTTATCTTTTTTTAAACAACTTCCCTTTGTCTTGCATTCCTCGGGATTAGGCTGGGCCCTGACAGCACTTATCCATTTCAAAACACATCGTGCCCAGGAGGAGATGACAAGCAATCCATCATTATGCAAGCTGCCAATTCCAACTCCACTTATTTGCTGCTATTTCAATTTAGAGGATTTAGCAATGACAGCATTACCAACACTAATGATTTTTGCCAGTCATGCTAAGGTTGGGCGATGTCAAAGACTTCCCTATGAAAACCCAACGTCTTCATCTGGATTAAGGAAAAGACCTTGTCAACAAGTCGGTCCCAACTCACCCCTTGTGGGAACAAAACCTTCACAAACCCTACAGAAACAGAAAGCCCAGAGCAGACCGTGCTCAGCTGTGCCAGCACAGCTCCTCCAGGTCTGCAGGCAGCAGGGAACTGTTCTTACACAGAGCCCATCACGTTCCCTCTGCACAGAGCCAACCCTCACACTCCGGCACGTTCATTCTCCCTGGTTTTAATCTTTTTATTATTAAAGCTCAGCTTGGGGTGGTGTGAGGGAAGTCGGGTCAGGGCTGTCACTCTGCACTTCTGCTGTGCCTTTATCCCAGGCTGTGGTGGGTCCTGGAGTTCTCCATGGTTTCCAGGCTTCTTGGCTAACGCTGCTTGCACCTCCAAGAGAGCCTTTCAAATACTAATTAGGGTAATTAATAAGCAGTGAGAGCCCAGCCATAGTGTAAGTGTTGTAGGGCTGTCCTTGTTGTTTTACTGTGGACTTTCTATAGGGCACCTCAAGCATGAATAAATAAATCTGTCAGGCCTTGTTAGAGCCCTGCCTCTTTCTCCCTGGTTTTCAAACCCAGAGTCACATTTTCCCCACAAAGAAACTGGCCCAGACTGAAAGCCAGGCAGTTACAGCACACCACTGCTTTCCAGGAATATTTTGGCTCTGTTACCTTATGAAAATTCATCCCAGGAGCTCCCTTTGCCACATTCCTGGACAATATGCAAAATAAAAAGCATATTTTTATGGGAACTGCTTACTGGGATGTTTCTTCTCATTCCAAGGCCTCAATGAGAGACCCAACATCTGCATGGGACAGCAACACCAACAGACAATATTCTGGGATTTCAGAGCATCTGGGACAGAGAGAGGAGCATTATTTCAGCTCTGAGGAGGAGACCTGCAGGCACAGGTGCCAGAGACACCTCTGGGCTGGCCCATTCCCTTCACAGCCCACACCTCTGAGACCTCTGGACCACATGGAAAAGTTCCTCAGGAGCACAGACAGGACACAGCTCCTCGATCCAGCAGCTCCCCAGCATAGGAACGGGCTGGACCAACACCCCCAGCCATAAATAAAAGCTCAGACCACAATCCACATCCAAATGTTACTCACACGATGGCTGGGAGCTTCCTCTGCTCTCACACAGGCACTGGGAGTGACTGCAGGTCCCTCCAGAGAGCCTCAGCATCTGCTCCAGAAGAGCCAGGGAGGATCCACAAGGGGTTTGCAGCACTCAGAGTTAGCCAGGGTCTAAGATCTTCATTGTTCAGAGGGCGGGATTTCCCTGGAAAGTTTTAGAAAAGCTCAGTTAAGTTGTGAATCTCCGGAACAATGTCACATCCATCTGACCATAACCACGCTGCTGGTGCTGCTGGCAGCTAGGCAATGTCTCCTAAATTCAGGAGACAGGATTTACACACTGATGCAGCTTCTCTGAACTCTGTGGAAGCATCCACAGCTGGGAACTGTCCTAAGGAGCCTTGCCAGGAGCTGGAGGTCACCTGTTAAGCTCCTGCTCTGCCGGCACCAGAGGGATGGAGATCCCAACCCGGGGTAAGTGTGGATGCAGCACTGTCCCTGTGCATCCTTGGGGACCCAGCATCCCTCCGGCAGCTCTCTGGGATACCAACAGCCTGCCCGAGGAACTGCCCCGTGCCAAACCCTCCCTGTGCCCCCGGCCCAAACGCCCACCCCGTTCCAGCTGACACCCAGGGCTCCACCAGGGCAGGCAAACAACGTTCGACCCTTTTCCCTCCCAAACGAAAGGGAAGGAGAAGGGGAGGCCTACCTGGGCACCAAGGGGAGCTCCCTCTGCCTACCTTGGCCCCAGCATGAGCTCCAGGCGGGGATTTTGGGGAGAGGAGACGCTGGGAACAGGAGCAGCAGGAGCAGCAGAACAGCCCCGTCCCCGCCTGCCCCGCTCCGCACCGCTCCCACCGCGCCCCCGCTGTTTCCAGCCCTGGGAATCAGAGCCGGTCCCAAACCCCCGGGAGAGCTCCGGCCGCCCCCAGCCTGCCCAGGGACACCGGGACCGGCCGGCGGCGGCGGGGGCTGCCCGCACCGGGGCTCCCTGCGCGGGGGCAGCCCGGGGGCCGAGGGGAGCCCGCCGTGGGGGGACGGACGGGCCTTCCCCCCCTGCCTGCCTCCGTCCTTCCCTGCCTGCCTCCCTTCCTGCCTGCCTCCGTCCCTGCCTGCCTCCGGTCGCGGCCTGCGGCTGTCCCGGGCCGGGCCGGGAAGCGCCGGGCGGCGGGGTCGGGCCGGGCCCGGGGCTGATGCCGGGGCCGAGCTCAGGTCGGGCTGGGGTCGGTGCCGTGCCCGGTTCGGGGCCGGTGTCGGGCCGGGCTCGGTGCCGGCCGGGCCGGGCCGGGTCTCGTTACCTGCGAGCCGGGAGCGCGTCCGGCCCCGCCTCACCTGGGCCAGGTGCGCCACGTGACCCGGACGGGCCGCGCCGAGGGACAGCAGAGCGCGGCGGGCGAAGCTGCTCCGGGGCCGGCGCGAACCCGAGCAAACCGGGCAGAGCCGGGTACAAACGGGGCACACAGCCGGTACAAACCGGGCACAAAGCCGGCACAAACCCGGGTACAAACCGGGCACAAAGCCGGCACAAACCCGGGTACAAACCCGGCAAAAATCCGGGCACAAAACCGGATACAAATCCGGTATAAACCCGGGTACAAACCCGGACAGATCCGGGCACAAACGCGAGCAAAAACCTGGGTACAAACCTGGCACAAAACCTGGTACAAACCCCGGCACAAACCCTGAGCACAAACCTGGGTACCAACCCAGCACAAATCCAGGCACAAGCCCCAGTACAAACCCTGCTCCCTCTGGCCCCCCAAAGGTGCGTGCCCCAAAGCCCCTCGGTGCCAATTACCAAAGCCCTCCGTCCCAATTACTTCCCCGAGGGTCCCTGGGCCCACCCCGAGTGTTCCCACCCCCGACGATCCCTGTCCCGCGGTGTCCCAGTCCCAAAGAGCCGGTGATTCCCTTCTGGGGTCGGATCCTGCCCCGGAGGTTTGCAGGGCAGCGGGGAGGGAGCCCGGTGGAACAGCAGCGGGGCACTGAGTCTGCTGCTGGACTCCAAAAGGATGGTGGGACAGGGAGCTGGGCCAGCCCAGGAGTCCTGGGCCTTAAACCTGAACTCCTGATGCACGATTCCTTCCCTAAAGCTGCCAGGATGAAAGAGCAGCGCCCGAGTCCCTCCTGCCCTGGTAACTGGGACACCCAGGAAAAAACCTGGGGAGAGGCTGGGAGGGAGGGCACGGCGTTAATTATTGCTGCCTGTAACGAGGCTTGGCTTTTCTGGAGCACATCCCAGCGCGGGGCTCTAGTGGGGCTGGAGACGAGGCCACTGCTCATCCCTGGGCTCTGATTCCGTCCTCCTGCATCCCCAATCCCCGTGTCCCTGGGCAATGCCAGAGGCTGCGCTGGCTCAGGATGCAGGGTGGCGTCCCGTCCTGGTGTCTGTCCCGGTGTCCGTCCTGGTGTCCGTCCCCGTGTCCCGTCCCCGTGTCCTGTCCCTGTGTCCCATCCCGGTGCCCCATCCTGGTGCCTCGGCAGAGCGGCACTGCCAGGGAAGGGAGAACAGAGGGAGAGCAAAGGGAGAACGAAGCTCTCACCGGGTTTTTGTCTCACCGAGGTTTATTCTGAGCGTTGCTAATTGCAGCCTCCTCTGCTAAATCATTAATAGCTCGGCAGCCTGAGCAGGAACCCTGCAGTGCCGGAGGGGTTTGGGCACTCATGGCCTCAGGGCAGGGACATTTCTGGTCTTTTTCCACGATTTGCCTTTACCAGCCCCTGTCTGCTCGCTGCTGGGATGTGCTGGGCCAGCCTGGGGACACAAAGGCTGCTCTGGGGGCTCAGCCTCGCTGCCCCATGTCCCCAGCTCACCTCCTGGAACAGCTGCTCCCCCTTTCCATGTCCTTCTCTCGCCCTGGAGCAGGGCCTGGAGCTGGGAAGGCGTCAGGCAGCGCAGACATGGGGGGTGACCCAAAAAAGAGATTATTTGTGATCAGGCAGTGACGGAGCAGGCGCCTGCTGAGCTCCCTCCAAACTCTGAGGTTCCAGGGTTTCATTCTGGGGAATGGGGGAAGCTCAGGGCAGGACACCCCCCGGCCCTTTCCCCTCTTGGGGGGACCCTTGAGGGTCCAGTTCCACCGGATCAGAGCAAAAAAATGAGAGGAGGATGCTCTGTTTAATTCCTGCCTGCCCACACAGTTTTTGGGCTGGGGGCAGAGGAATCATGGAAAGAGCTTTAACCCCAGGGTGGAGCAGCACTCCTCAGCTTCCACAGCCCGTTTCCAGCAGCATTTCTATGGGATAGATGAAGGTTCGATCCAGCCTCCGGCTTCCCCCCAGCCCGGAGAGCAGCGTGAGGAGCTCGGGGAGCGCCGGGGCCGCGCTCTGAGCCGGGCGGGGATGCGCGGGCAGCCGGGGGATGGGTCGGGATGGGATGGGATGGAACGGGATGGAACGGGATGGGACGGGATGGGACGGGATGGGACGGGATGGAACGGGATGGGCCGGCCGCGGGGGCCGAGCAGTGACGCAGCAGCAGTCGCTGACGCTGCTCCGGTGCCTGGCAGACGCGTGGCAGCCTGGTAGGAGCAGGGATGTGATGCAAAGCACAAGAGATGGGGGTTTTTTTTCCCTCCTAAGGTAAGGAAAGGAAAAATGTCACCAGCCCCGTGGGCGACATCCACGGAAGGCCTGGATGTGGTTCTGCCTGAAACAGATTTAGGCACGGTTTTGTTTTTGGCTCAGGCTTTTATTCCAGTCTGGGGGTGGGATGAAACCTTGACACCTGGTTTCTGTCATCTCTGCTGCTCCGATGCGGGACCCACGCAGCCACACGCAGATGCTGCTGCCGAGGATGACATTCCAGCAGGAGGAGCCCCAAAATCCAGGCTCTGGATGGGGAGAGCAGGGGGGCAGTGGCACCCCCCGCTGCAGCCCCCTGCCCCTCCAGCCCACTGCCAGCTTTGTTAACACCGTGTAATCCACAGTGACGGTGGCAGCGACCTTGCCGTGACAGCCGCGCATCCAAGGACGCTCCGGTGCGGGGACAGCCCGGCCCAGCCCGGTCCAGCCCCACCCGGACCCCCAGCGACCCCGCAGTGCTCTGCGATCCCACCGGCCCCAGCTCCGCATCTCCCTCCAAGGGAGGGCACTTTTCCAGCCCCGGTAACGCCCCCGGGCCGGTGCCGTACCGAGCTGTACCGAGTCCGGTGTCCGGGACCGGTACCGCGCCCAGACCCCTGAAGGTGCCATACCGGGCCAGGGCTGTACCGTACCGAGCCCGGGGCCCATCAATGCCGGTACCGCTGCCGTACCGAGCCCGGTGCAGCACCGAGCCCGTAGCGGTCCGGTACCGGTTACCGGTGCCGCGCCCAGCCCGGTGCCGGTGCAGTGCCGGCCCGTACCGAGCCCCGGGCCGCGCCGTGCCGGTCCGGGCTCGCGTGTCCCCCACCCCCTTCCCCCGTGCCGGTGCCGGAGCCGCCCCCGCCGGGGCCGAGCCGCGCCGCCGGCGCCGCCCCCGGGCTATATATCCCCGCCGCATCCCCCGCCGCCGCTCCCGCTCCCATGGCTGCAGCGGCGGCGGCACCGGCACCTCCGAGCCCCTCCGGCGGCGACGCGCAGCGCCCGTCCCGCGGCGGCCCCGGCGGCGGCGGCGGCGGCGGCGAGGGCAAGAGCGGCGGCCCGGGCGCGGTGGAGCTGGCGGCGGCGCGGCGGCGGCTGGTGGCGGCCGAGGGGCGGCGGCGGGCGGCGGCCGAGCTGGAGGGGCGGGTGCGGCAGGTGCACTGCGCGCTGCTGCACGCCGAGCTGCGCCTGGCCGCCCGCGCCGAGACCCTGGGCCGCCTGGGCGCCGGCGTGGCCCAGGCGCAGCTCGCCCTGGCCGCGCAGAGCCAGCGGCTGCAGAAGGGGCTGCGCCGCCGCCCGCGGCCCCGGCCCGGGGCGCTGCTCGCCGCCGCCCGCGCCCTCCGCAGCTGCGTGCCCTGGGCCCCCGCGCGGAGCCGCGGCGCCGCCGCCGGCACCCCCGTGCGCCGCCTGCCCGCCGCCAGCCGCGGCTCCGCCTAGCGCGGCCGGGGGCTACGGGGGGCTGCGGGGGGCTGCCGGGCTCGGGGGGACTCGGGGGGTTTGAGGTGTGGGGACACGGCGGGTTCTGGACGCCCTGGGTGTGGGGGACCCTGCAGGATCTGGGGGAGCCCGTGGTGCGGAGATCCGGTCCTTCAGAGGGTCTTGGGAAGGGTAAATGGTGGGGACGCGGGAGGTTTGGGGAGCTGGGGGGTCTGGGGTGCTTGAGGGGGTTTGATCCTTGCGGAGCCAGCGGGTCTGGGGGCTCTGAAAGTGGAGGGACGCCTGGTTGGGCTCACTGGGGGAGCTGTGGGAGCCAGGGCTGTGGGGGGGTCCAGCAGGGCCTGGGGTCCTTCAGGGAGTCCTGGGGAGTCTGGTGGGTTTGGGACTCCTGGGGTCGGGGGCACCTTGGTGAGTGTGAGGGGCCTCGGGGACCCTGCTGGATCTGGGGGACCCACCTGGTGTGGGGCAACCCAGCAGGGTCTGGGGAATTCGATGGGCTGGAACCCAATGGGTTTGGGGGTCCCAGAGGGATCCTGCAGGGTGGGAGAGGTCTGAGGGGTCCACTGGGATGGGACCCAGGGGGCTGGAAGGGCTAAAGCATCCTTGAGGGTGCCAGGGAGATCCTGCAGGGTCCTGGGGACTCTGTGGGGTGGGGGTGCCCAGCAGGGTCTGGGGACCCCGGCAGTGGCCCGAGGGGTCTGATGGGGGGAGACTTTGGGGTATTTGGGGTTCCAAAGGGGACCCTGTGGTATTGGGGCACTCCAGGGGACCCAGCAGGGCCTGGGCACCTTGGGGTGCCCTGAGGGTTTGGTGGGGAGAGCATCCCTGAGGGCTGTGGTGCTCGAAGGACCCTGCAGGGTCAGGGTCCAGGTGAACTGGCAGACTGGGGGGACACAATGAGATTGGGGGTCCCAGCAGGATCTGGGAACCTCCCTGGGACTGGGAGACCCCTCAGAGTCTGGTGTCCCTGGAGGATCGTGCCAGGTTTGGGAGTGTTTACAGAGGAATCTGCTGCCAGCGCCCCCAGCCCGGTCTGGGGCCGTGTCCCCCTGAAGGCAGCAGGTTCTGGGGCAGGGCCCCTTCCCCGCCTGAGCCCCCGGGAGGGGACCCCGGCCCTGGGGACGCTGCTGGCACTGTGACTCACACAAGCAAGGCTCGGCGAGAGCGGAGCGGGCTCGGGGCTGTCGCACCTGCAGCACCCCGGGCGGGACAGAGCGGGACGGGAGCGGGGCTCGGGCTCCACCGGCACCGTTCACCCCAGCGAGCGGAGTCTGGGACTGCTCCGTGACCGACCCAACCACGCGGGGACACCGAAAGCTCCCGGGGCTTCCAGCAGCGTCCTTGGGGACACCCAATGTCACCTGGAGCAGAGGCGGCGGCTGCGGGCTGGCAGGAAGGCACGGGGAGGCGGAGATGGGCTCGGGGTGAAGGGTCCCTGTATGGATGAAGGACCCCTCTCCGAGATGAAGGACCTGTCTCTGGGATGAAGGATCCTCGTCCGGGATGAAGGATCTTCCCCAGGATGAAGCATCCCCCCGAGATGAAGGACTTCTCTCCGGGATGAATGATCCCCGCGAGATGAAGGATCTCTGTCCGGGATGAAGGACCTCTCTCTGAGATGAAGGTTCCCTGTGCGGGATGAAGGACCTCTCTCCAGAACGAAGCATCCCCGTCCGGGTTGAAGGATCCCCCGGGATGAAGGATCTCTGTTCGGAATGAAGCATCTCCCTCCGGGATGAAAGGACTTCTCTCCGGGCTGAAGCATGTCTGTCCGGGATGCAGGATGCCCCCGGGATGAAGGATCTCCCTCCGCACTGAACGCTGTGCAGGGCCCTGGTGCCGCTGTCCCCCAGCCCCGAGCCGGCCTCAGGACGGGCGCCGGGCCCGGATGGATCGGCCCGGTCCCGCCGGGCCCGGATGGATCGGCCCGGTCCCGCCGGGCATGGCAGAGGCTCGGCCGGCCCCGCTCCCGCTCCGTGCCCGCCGCTCCCGGTGGCCGAGCCAGCAGCGCCCGCTCCGCCGCTCCGAGCTCCGCATGGCGCTCCCGGCAGCTGCATGGATCCCCCGGAAAAACTGAGTCCCTCCGCTATTTATTTATTTAAATTTAAAATACCAAAACCCCGGGTTTGGGCTGGGGTTGGGGGGGGGGAGAGTTCACTAACCCCCTGCTACTTATTCATTTATTTATTTATTTAAATTTAAAATACCAAAACTCCGGGTTTGGGCTGGGGGGGATTTCACTGTCCTCCTGCTATATATATATGTATATTTATTTATTTATTTATTTATTTACATTAAAAAACCAAACCTCGGGTTTGGGCTGGGGTGGGGGGATTTCACTGACGCTCTGCTATTAATTAATTAAATTATTTATTTATTTATTTATTTATTTAAATTTAGAACCCAGCCCCCGGGTCTGGGCTGGGGTGGGGAGGATTTCACTGACGCCCTGCTATTAATCAATTAAATTATTTATTTATTTATTTAAATTAAAAACCCAAAACCCCCGGGTCTGGGGTGGGGGTTTCTCTGACGCCCGAATGTGCCGCCCTCCCTCCGCTGGTGTGACAGCAGGTCTGTTGTGTAACCCCGGCTGTGCTGCCCGCACCGTGCTGCCCGTGCTCTGGAATAAACTTTGATATATATTTTATTCATGACGTGCGGTGTCCTCGAGTGCTGGTTGAAATATAACCGGGAGGGTGATTAGAATGAGGATTAGCAAATAAGCCCTGGTAATGGCATGTAATTAATACCAGAGTGGATTTCTCTGATTATCAGCCTCTTCCCTCCTCTGAGTGTGTGGGGAGATGGGGAAGAATACGTTCAGAATTTCTGCAGCAGGACATCACTGCTATATATAAATATAAATATAAATATATATATATATATGCCTACAGACATGGTCTGTTCTGAAAAACTCACATAAGAGGACAAACAAGGCAAACTTGGGTGACAAACAAGGCACAGCTTGCACATCAGTACCTGCAGAAAAGAGAGAGCAGGGAAACACCCAAGCTCCCATCCTGCCTTTGCAGCCCCACGCTGAGCTCTGCCTTTCCCCTCTAATCCCAGGCTTTGAGCTGCTCCTGGGTTTGTGCTGCCCAGCGCAGGGCTGTGAACGCTCTGACACCTCTGGTGCTCCCCAGCTCCTGCCCTTTCCCTCCCCAGGGCCAGGGAGATTTTCCTGTGTGTAATCCCAGCTGGAAGGTGATTCCAGAGCCCAGAGCAGAGTTTGCTGCTGAGAGCAGCTTAGGGGTCTCAGCCAGGAGAAGAGACACATTATCTCTCCTGGCTTTCAATTAATAGTATGGAATGCACAGCTTGGCCTCAAATCCCTTGATTTTTTTTTCCCTTTCTGTGGTGATTATTTGCAAATCAGCTTTTGACCTGATTAGAGTGGAACCGACTTAGAGGAAATGCAGGGAAAGACCTTAAATGCATAATAAATCAACTCCATTAAAGGAGAGAGGCCAAAATCATTAAAAAATCCCTGTGTGTGCTGGTTGCTCCCCACCCTTCAGTCTCAGCAAGGATACAGTCCCATCCCACTCTGTATTCCTGGAGTATCTTCAGCTGGAACATGACATCCATTACAATTCTCACATTGATTCCCATTTTCCTCCAGGACGGGGAGGCTGATGCAGGCTGTGAGCACAGGAGGGTTGGTGGGAGGGCAAGGAGAGCCCTGCAAGGGGCTGGAATGAGGATGCCTGTGTGCCCCAGGGAATGCCAGGCCCAGGAGTCCAAAGGGTGGGGAAAGGCAGGGGCGCATCCATCTCCATTTTCCAGGCACTGGAAACAGCAAACAAACACAGAGCAGCTCCAGCACCAGGCACAAGGACAGGAGCAGGTCCTGGCAGGTCCCTCCGTGGCTCCAGGGCAGCCCCAGGCTGGGGAGCAGGGGGATTTACGTAACCCCCTGCCCTCCTGCAGCACCCTTACGTAACAGCACCCACACTTGTTGGCTTTATGGGATTACCCTGTTACAGACTTTCTGGGAAAAATGAAATTAATGTGGCGTGTTAATGCCTAAGCCTGGCTTCTCCCCCTTCCCGCTGATAATTCCTCTGGGCTGGGCCTGATGGAGAGAGTTGGTGTGGGGCGAGATGGGCACAGGCACCCACGGGCAGGGACAGAAACTGCCCGGGGCTGAAATGGTGGGACAGAGGGGCAGGGCAGGGAACGTGGGAGGGTGAGGGAGAGGGTGAGAGTGATGGAGGGGATGACACAGAGAGTGGGAGGGCGATGGAGAGGGGACAGGGACATTGGAGGGGTGACAGAAGAGGGATAGAGATGGCACAAGGGTGATGGAGAGGGGACAGGGACAGCGAAGGGTGATGGACAAGGGACAGGCGTGGTGCAAAAGTGATGAAGGGCTGTAAAGGGACGGGGCGAGGGTGATGGAGAGGGTCGGACAGGGACGGTGCCAGAGCGATGGGGACAAGGGACAGGGACAGGGACAAGGGACGGGGGGCAGTGTCAGGAGCCGAGGCCGCCCCCGCTGCGGCCACGAGAGGGCGCTGCGGGAGCCGCCGGAGCAGCCCCGGCGCTGCCGGTGCCGCTGGTCCCGGTGCCGCTGGTCCCGCTGGTCCCGGTCCTGCTGGTCCCGCTGGTCCCGGTGCCGCTGGTCCCGCTGGTCCCGGTCCTGCTGGTCCCGCTGGTCCCGGTGCCGCTGGTCCCGCTGGTCCCGGTCCTGCTGGTCCCGCTGGTCCCGGTGCCGCTGGTCCCGCTGGTCCCGGTCCTGCTGGTCCCGCTGGTCCCGGTGCCGCTGGTTCCTCTCCAGCCCCTCCTCCTCTCAGCGGCGATCCCAGCCCCAAACAGCCCCAGAGGGTTTTGGGAATCGCCCCCCTGGCCTCTGATCCCCCCTTCCAGCCCTGAGCCTGGGCTCCCCAGAGCCTGGTGCGGGTCATTTCCATCTTCCTGCTCCCTCACCCCTGGGGCCAGCAGCCCTGTGCTTCATCCCTGGTCAGGTGTGCTGAGAAATGCCCAGAAATCCTTTA